ATATATATCGCCCAAAAAAATGTGTATGGTCGAGTCCAACACCTTATGTTGAAGTTTTACTGCTGATTTACCATGCACGCGGAGAAAGGGCCTGCGCAGTCATTAACATGGGCATAAGCATGCACGGTGTCCAAAGGAGCAGACATTTGACCGATACTCTTCTCAAAACTGATGCCGATACAATGTGCATGTAGCAGCATCTGGACTCTATGGATTTGCAGGATATAAAAACAATCTTTTACTTTTCCACAAGAAATTGCCAATGGAAAAACCTGCTGTTGTCATCGGTGATAAGGATGATTCAAGGCCGATGCATCATGTGGTGATGTGACTCAGGCTCATTACACGAAATGTACCTACAGTAATGCAAGAAGCCAGTGAAAGAAATTATAAATATAACAACTAATTACGAAGATCCCCTTCTTGTAACAATGAAAAACGAAATCACTGCAAAGTTGAAGATTAAGCGGCTGAAGATCGACGCGGACAGGCGCCAGTAGGTGTCTGCTTGACTCCACATAGAGGGCGCCAGTAGGTGTCTGCTTGACCCCACATAGAGATAGAGGGCGCCAGTAGGTGTCTGCTTGACCCCACATAGAGGGCGCCTAAAGCCTAGGTCTAGATATAAGGAAAACATTACACAACACAGCTGGTATTTATAATTTATAAAGCATTTATTTGGGGATTTAAAAAAATCTCGAAATTCCTAAAATATTGCTTAAAACTTAAAATGTAATTCTGCTCCGTTACCACCGTAATTTGATGACGCTGATTTAAAAAATGTAATTAGTTCTTTGTCTACCGTGAAGCACCAGCTCTGAAATGGCCAGTAAAAATTGTCCCCTGTCCAGTCGGATGACGTCACGCAAACCGCTCAACCCGAGTTGGCGACGGCGAGACGGCATTGACTCTTTGGAGAGTTCGTGACCTCAGTGCTTTCTTGTCGCATCTCCATTTTTAATAACAGTGAAAGCAGTTCACAACAGAGAGTGAGCTTAAGAAGAAGTCACATTTTCACTGTTAAAAGATGGAGATAGGACAAGAAATCACTGAGGTAGCGAGTTGTCAGCGAGACGCCCTTCCCAGCTTTTCGGCGCAATAAGAATGTAGTTTGGATTCCGATAAAGCCGACAACGCCGATCCGAGCTTTTGGGGGGGGGGGGGGGGGGGGGGGCTACACCTGAAGACTAATTTCGCTTATTACTGGACCGAATTTTACCAAATTTCCCACATATAACAAGCATAGTAGTCTTAAAATCCGCAATGAAATTTGAGAAAAAAGTGTTGTTTCCATGGATACGGCTGCCATGTTGGATTTTGTTGAGATGTCTGACGTCATGAACACCGCACTTATCGCTCATGGAAATTGATTGCTTTTTTGCATGCATTTTAACAAACATAAGATCTAGAAATTTGTCCGTTGTTTTTTTTTTTCCTAAACGAATTAGACAATTTTAATACTTTTTTTTTCCTGATCTAGCATTCTAGTTTGCAAAAAATCCGTGAAAATCCACACTCCAGACACCACCAACAAAAATCTATTCCGTATATAAAATTCAACATACACATTTTTAGTATTACATCTTCTCTTCATTCTGTGAAAATTTCATGAAGATTGGATGAAAAATGGTGGAGTTATTCAAAAAAGTATAGAGAAAAGTCGCGTTTTGAGAAAACGGCCGATAAAGAAAAATAAAATATTGACTTTACGAGGAAATGACAGTGACAAACATGTATGGGAAAAAATATGTTTTTGTTTGTTTTGTTCTTATGCGATGAAATAGTTGTCGGAGAGGCTGAGGAAACTAAAAATGCCTACAACTCAAATTCCATAATTTTGAGCCGAATCTTGACTTTGGGGGTGTACCCCCCCCCCCCCTTTAAAGCCGCCTGCAGTCTGCCAGCTCTATGTGGGGCAATTTGGAAATCATAAGGGAATGTTTATACCTATCGGCGCTCACTGAGTCAGTCTCCGAAATCTGCGTTCTCTATGTCTTTGCCCTAAGTGGGTACATATTCGATGAGCGGCCAAACTGGATTTATACATCTTGGAAAATACAAGAGAAAAAAAATAAAGGAAATGATACCAAATAAAAAGAATGATCCCAGATCAGTAAAAAACCCTTAATTCGTGAACCTTAAGTTATTATTTGTGATACTAACGTTTTTCCCCTTTTTCAATGCGGCCGATGGCAGCCATATTGGATTTTTTCCACTGATATTTTACTAAAGGCTAAAAATGACATTAAAAATGAACTTCTTGACCTAAAAAATCCCATAAAAGTAATGTATCACACTTCATATGTGTTGGAAAAAGACAATGAGTTCTATCGGTTTTTTTGCCATTTGGCGGCCATCTTGGATTTGAAGGCCTCATGGGTAACGCCCACCTTTTCAAAAGAGGCATGGGGGCTAATTTTCTTACTTAGACCTTGAAGATGGCAAAACAAGTGAAATACAAACTTCCGGAGCCCACGGTCAGGGGACTATTGGTTTTTTTAAATCCAACTACATCTTTTATTTTATTACTTGATTGTGGGTGCTTTTCGTAATAGGCCCACATACTAGAACATTTACACAATTGGGCGTCACTGCACGACCATGCACTATGGACGAACCACGCCTGATACACGTGTGCATTTGTATCCCCGGCAACAGTTATTTCAACTATGGCAATTAGATAGGGCCTGTAGTTTGATCATCTGTAAACTCTTTTCATTATTTCTGGGATTTAGCAAGTCTTTTACAATGAAAATAAAACGAATCTGATGTATCCTTAGGCCCGATTTAAGGGTCAGATGCACCCATCACAACGTTAAACTTGCTCTTGCTCTTGCTCATCTTGATAATACAGATCTTCTTCCAGTCGCTCTTGCTCCAGTCGCTCTTGCTCCAGTCGCTCTTGCTCCAGTCGCTCTTGCTCATGTTGATAATACAGATCTAGCTCTTGCTCTTGCTTGAGTTGCTCATTGTCATGTTCAAACTGGTCTGCGAGTCGCTCTTGTTCAATTTGCTCTTCCAGATTGTTTAGTTTATGCTCAAACAGCTCTTGCTCGAGTTGCTGCATTGGATCTGGAGGGGAGGGGATGGGAGGGGAGGGGAGGTTGTGTTAAAAACTGCTGTTATTATTATTATTATTATTATTATTATTATTATTACTAACATTTGTTTGATTTGGTAAGTGTTTTATACTTTTGATAGGAATTTTGAATTTTGCCTGCGTGGCGACCGAAGAGCCTACTCTTATCGATTTGGGGAGAAATATACAAGCTGGTGACAGAACAGAACACGCCTCTTGAAAAACCTACTAGTGTTGACATAATATTGATAGGGGCGCTAACCTATGCTATAGCATTTCCCCATTTCTCACAGAACAGGACAAGAGAAGCGGAAAGGCAGCAGCGAAAAGAAGACTTTTGGTAGTGAAGTGCAGTCTGTGTGTGCTTTGCAGCAAGTTCTAACATCATATCTGTGTAGACTACAGTCTACAAAAATGTCATTTGCCTTTTTTGGGGGGTAAGTGTTTTACGGCGCTCGCAACTGCATAATAAGGTCAAAATATAAGCGCGCGGGACACATGAAACATTTTCAGTTGGTAGGAAATTTTGAATTATCTATTTTGAACCACCAAGGGATCTTTAACGTGCGCAACTTGCACACAGGCTCTCCGAGATTTTTCGCTCTTGTTCGAGAAGGCTAGGTGTAGATCTTTCCTACCAGAAGATCAGGGTATGGCTGAAAGACAGCAGTAAGAAGGAGCCAAAGAGAAGCAGTAGAAAGGCTGCAGAAAGAATGAGGAGCCCAGAAGAAGGGGCAAAGAAGGTGAGGGGGTGGGGGGGGGGAGAAAGTGGAGACGAAAGCAGACGACAGAACTTGCTAGAGAACTGGAAAGGAGGGGAAAGGAGAACATTTTAGAGAAGAAAATTGTCCGTCCCTAACCGGATTCGAACCCGGGACCTAGTGAATGAGAGGCCAACACCCTAACCTTTAAGGCCACGAGAGCCCATCTGAGCCTGCGCAAATTAAACCCTGTCCTAGCATCTGCGGTTGTTGCCATTCTTTCGTCCAAAAGTTGCCCCCAAAAAGGCAAAAGTTGCCCCCAAAAAGGCAAAAGTTGCCAAAAGTTGCCCCCCAAAAGGCAAAAGTTGCCAAAAGTTGCCCCCAAAAAGGCAAAAGTTGCCAAAAGTTGCCCCCAAAAAGGCAAAAGTTGCCATTAATTTTCAAGCTTTCAACTCTCCGTGACGAAATATAGCAATATATGTTGATACATGTAGAGGTAACTTAACCTAAAGCACCAGAAATGTCAAAATATTATTATATTCTGTTTTAAGCATCCAGAATATCATTTGCAGCCACATAGCATAGAGTGAAAAATCGTGAAAAATGAAGGTTTCTCAAAAGAATGAAATCAAAATTAGAACTGCACATACAGCCACCAAAGTTGACGAATAATGGCGTATGTCCACTTCCCAAAGATTGTCTGTCTTAACTCTAACTCTAAACGTGTGTAATTCAAGAGAAAGTACGTGATATTACCTGTAAATTACGGAATCACACACAATTAGGGGCCTACCAGTGTCAGTATTCGGTTTTGATGGAGACACACTCGAACGTAACACATTTATTAATTTTTTTTAATGTAGGAACTAAACAGGGGCGGCTCGTGGGTCTTTAAAGTGGGTGTGCACAATTAGGTTAAAGAAGGTTGAAGATAGTCAAGGGCATGTAAATGAGATGTTTTCTTCATCCTACCTGTTTTGAGAAAGTCTATTTGAAGAAGAATTCTTCTTTTCGTTCTTTTGCCGCAGCAAAAGTGTCCATTATTCTGTTGACGAAGTTGGTGTCCATTATTCTGTTGACGAAGTTGGTGTCCATTATTCTGTTGACGAAGTTGGTGTCCATTATTCTGTTGACGAAGTTGGGCATGCTGTCAGTGATGTCCTTGTGGATCGACATAAACGTCAGTGAGATTTCTGGTATTTTGCATACTTCTCTAAATGTTGTGTCGAGTTTGTAGTCCTTCAGAGTTGAATAAAGGCCCTGGATTGTACGACCTTGAGCAGACTTAAATGTTTCATTGTAATGCAATACTTATAATTCTGTTTGTAACTTGATTTTGTGCAAAACAGTAATATTTCTGTAAACGATCCTAAAAGAACTGTAGGAAACGACTTTTGGTAGTCCTGGAATTTGGAGGAATCGAAGATTGATAGTGCGTTGAATTTATTTTGCTTCAAGAAACTGTGAACAATTTGAGACACTATTATGTCATAGGCCATCTTTTTATTAGCAATTTCTTTGGTGTTGTAATGTCTACGTCTCTTGGAAGCGTGTTCCTCTGTGGTCTGTTTTGTTGATAGAACACGTATACTGTTTCTAATTTCATCGACGGCTACCTTAACGTGTCTAGAGCTTGTTAGGCTGCTATGGGCGTTGTACTTCTGTGTTAGAGGGTCCCATAGACACTTACAGCGTCAACGTAAGTGAAAGCTTTGTTGAAAAGCGCAAAAAGAAGAGAAATGTTTCGCTCTTTAATACTTTCAGGACACCATGGTGTATGGAATTATCGTCCCCCAGCTCTGACTGAATTTCTGCAAGACAAAGCTGGATCTCTCCTTTTCAAATGAAGACTGTGCTAATTAGTCGAGACTGTAAATTCCACTTAGTTTCAGACAGCCATGGAATATTCCGGTGACAAACGCGTCTGAGAACCCCGATGCATTTTGTAGAGAGGGCAAAAAATGTCGAAGAGCCTGCATAGCGTTAGCGAAAAATACCTCTGTTCCCCGACAAATCATTCTTTTCATGACTGCGAAGGGCGAGTTGGTGAGTTTCAGAGAACAAAATACACTCGATGACCTTACACAATACGTGCCTGTTCTTTCTCACTAGTCCGTTATTGTGAGACGTTGCAATGCGCTGACCAACGACTAGCTGCGCTGCTATGTCTACTTGTCCGAAAGTATGATACTTAACGGCATTGTTTACGTGCGCTCTTGATGACTCGTGACTTTAATGCGTTGTTTAACCTGGACAAGATCAGTAAAACCTGTCTTAGCAGACAGGAGAAACAGCAAGTCTACAATGAGTATTTGCTAGCGCTGATTGTAAGCCACTCCACTTTTTGTTGGTTGTATTATTTTGATATCTTTGGGTCGGTGAGGACCTAATTCTTTCACTCTCTTCTTGTTACTTTGTTTGGTGAACTGATTTTATTTGCAATCAACTTCAACCATCCTGCCTTGGAATACACTCTCGGGTAATAAAACTTTCACCACTACATCATTCCAACTTCTACCACAGTGACCTAATTACGTCATGTTAACCTCGCTCAAGTTCAGGGTTACAGAGATGGGGCTAGAGATATAAATGGCAAGACGAAGTAATTTTTACTCGATTGCGCATCGGACCCACAAATACCTCCTACAGGGAGATGAGAAGCCGTTCTGTGTCGAATGCCACACAGATTTTACTATTAGACACATCTTAACCGAATGTCTGGACTTTGGAGAGATCCGAAGGAAATATTATAAATGCAAGAAATTGCAGGATATTTTTTCCGTCGTTGTTCCCAGCAGAATTTTGAATTTTATGAAGGCCATTGGCCTTTATGGCGAGTTGTAGAGTGAAATTGTACTATTTAGATTTTTTTATGTTAACTAGAAAATTTGTTTTAGATTGAAAATATATGTATATTTACACCGATTTTTAAACATTTTAAGATTTAACTACTGACCCGAGCCAGCCGTACAGCGAACTGTTGTGAACAAGACCAACTTGTGTTTCGCGCGCTCATATGACCTTATGCAGTTGCGAGCGCCGTAAAACCCTATACTACTAAAAAAAAATGGCAAGACAATGGACCAATCGCACATCGCTGTGTGAGCACTCCGGTGGATTGCTCCAAAGCTATCATAATACGGGCATTGAATTGTGTAGGCTATCGTGAACTGGTCTGAGATTGTGTTATTTTTAGACTCCCTCTATGGGCTTTGTGAGGCTGGTGCACATTGAGATTGTGCCGCCTTATTAATATCTATGAACTAAGAAACTCGGTCAAAACGTCATCGTTGTTTGGGTCGTCCCATAGAGCATTTCCCGAGATAGATTACACCACTGAACATGATATTGTTTACTTGGGTGAAGCACAAGAACTTGATATTATGGTATAGTAGATGTTGTAGAGTTGTTGTGGATGTTGTAATGAACGAATAGGCTCTGGCGAGGAACTTGTGCGGAAAACTGATTGGATGGTGGAAGGTAAAGGTTCTTTTATTGTCTCTTTGTGGGTGTTTAGCGCATTAACATTTTTGGGCGGCAGTGCACGACCGTGCTGTATGGACGAGCCGCCCCTGGAACTAAATCAAATTCAATGACGCTATAGAAACACAAACATTAGAAGAACAGCACTTCAGAACAATAACAAAAAAAAATAACACACCAACAAATTAAAACACAACAAAGAGGGAAACATACAAGACAAACAGCAATATAGTAATTATGTACTTGCTTTCTTGGCCTGGAAATAACTCTATGTGGACACCTTAAATGATGTTATGGAACTTTAAGATTATGTTATGGAGTACCTTTTTGGTTAAAAATGAAAAAATCACGGCCGCGTTTCACGGACCAGAAAATGCCAAGGATCGCGGCCATGATTCGCCGGTCGCGGCCGCGACAAACCCAGATG